AAAGGTTTCTTGCTGCTCTAAGCATGTAAGTAAAACAAAAATTTTGCGAAGTAACACCCATATATGCATATATACTGGCTGTTTGAATTATGAATTTATTTACAGCTTGCCTAGGTTATAATCAGTGATTATTGTTATATTATACAAACATGACAGTAAAGGTTTCTTTTAAATACAAAGACTGCAAATGAATACATGAAAAAATTACACACATGTACAATATTTATAATTTATAAATGCAAAGTTAAGACCTCTTTAAATTATTGCACTTGTGCATTTTACAAAGTTTTTGTATGTCATACATATAAAATATTTTTAAATTTATAACTTAGTAACTGTAATGAAGTTGGACATTGTTAACTCAAAATTCCTTCTCCTTCCAAAAGTGAGCCCATTAAAACTTTGGATACAGATCCATCGACTCTACGAATCAGATTATGAGCATTGTATTTTTGACAGCTTGTAACCTGTATTCCACTCCAGCAGCTTCTGGTCAGCAAGGAGATTATCACCAGCAAACTCTTAGTTGCCTTGGCTAGGCAGGGATAGAGGATCTCCTTTGTTCACAAGGACTTGTAAAAAAAAAAAAAAAAAAAAAGTCACCCCTTCTTTTCAGAAAGAGTCAAGATGCTGCATTTCTACAAATTTTGGTAACTGTTTCACAGTGTTCTGGGCACGCACACTTTTTTCCGGTGGGTCACTGGGTGGGTTCTGGTGAACAGGTGGGGGGTGTGGTATAGAAACACCTTCTACAACTACATCTACTGTCAGTGTGCACACTAAGTGAATATAAAGGGCATACACCATCCAACAGGTCACATGGAAAAGAGTGTTCCCATATGTCGTTTACACAGTATATTTGAGATACGGCACAAGACTGGGAACTAAAGAAAAAACAAAAGCTGCAATGCCCAGGATAGGGTGATATTTTAGGTGGACTAGGGTACTGGATAACACACTTTTAAAACTTATCCTGCAATAGGAATAAAACCTTTCCACTTAAGCTTCAGTGAATGTACGGTTCCTCAAAAGTACTAGCTGAAACTTGATGTGTGGAAACCGACTACCCTAACTGGCAAGCGTGATCTGGCTGGAAGTTTCGGCCTGGGTCCTGGGGTAACGCTAACCTGTGCCCAGCAGAGGTACACGCAGGGCTGAACCCTCTCAGGGCGGTCAGCTCTGCAGGACCTTCCACTGTCAGTCAGAGAAGGGAAAAGTTCAGAGTTCAGGTGACGGTAGTAATACTTCTTTGGATTTCAAACGTGTTTCTTGTCTTTCACTTTGTCCCATCTTTTCAATTTAGAACCAGAACAGCATCAAAACTGTTTTCTTCCTTTTTTTCTATTCTTATCATCACATAAATGTATCTAGTGCTTCAGACAACCAAAATATCCAGTAAAAAAAAAAAAGACAAAAAACAAAAAGTGTAAGCACTGCATTGGGTATCACTCATTTAAACTTAAGTGCTTAAAGAAATTGGCAAAATGTGTATCAGGATAAATACTTAATGCAAAGGTAAAAATATACTAGCCATGCACTGCAGACAAGCCTGGGGAAACCATCACTAACAGCATACTCGGCTAATTTACATTTTACAGTGATTTTAAAATCCGATTAATACTTGCAATAGAAAGGAGACACTAAGGTGACTAAATGAATATGTTTTTAAAGAATTAAATCCTGAATAAAATCAGCCAAGTGTAGAAAGCAAATACATTTGAAATATACAAAGATAGAAGTGATTTTCAAAATCTAAATCATGCATATGTACCTGAAAAAACCGACAAAATCACATCATAATCAGTGTCACAGTTCTTGGAAGTTCTTGCAAAAAAGACTGAATCTGAACAGTTCATCGGTTATGGTCACAAGGGTGACTGTGAATGAAATAAAATAAGGGATAGAAAGCTGATAAGGAGAGAATGATCCTAACTCATTCCACTTGATAAAATTAACCATGGATGTGTCCCTTGAAATGTTTTTAATTATAGTTAAGCAAGAAAGCAAAACAATGAATATATGAATGAAGAGGTAAGATTACAGAGTTTAAAATAAAGGCACAGGCCGAGGCGTGGTGAATCACTTAGTCCTATTAAAACTCAAACCCTACTCTGGGTTAAAAGACCAGCAACATAACACTCAAAACTAAATCTATTAAGCAATCCAGGAAGCTAAGGATTTATGCGTCTATGTGTATCATGTACAAACAGAGCTACTGTGCTTGAATATACCAAGAAAGCAAAATTCACGGAGGTTGACTGCATAAAAGCATGCTAAAGAGAGGAAACCTACACTGAGCGGATCTAGTTCTGAATTAGCTCTGTTTCTGCTGCTGTGAGAACAAGTCACCCCGAGCAGTACCGTGATTGTCTGCACAGATGCTTTTCCATTGAGAGAAGAGTCAGGCTGGAGGACAACGGTGTGTGACTAATTCAAAACCTGGTCTCTCTTCCAACATTGTTTTCTCACGTGCTTCTCAGAAATAACTAAAGCTGGGAAATGGATCACAATTCCTGCCCTAGTAAAAGGGTCATTTTTGGGCTTCCCTGGTGGCGCAGTGGTTGAGAGTCCGCCTGCCGATGCAGGGGACGCGGGTTCGTGCCCCGGTCCGGGAAGATCCCACATGCCACGGAGCAGCTGGGCTCGTGAGCCGTGGCTGCTGGGCCTGCGCGTCCGGAGCCTGTGCTCCGCGGCGGGAGAGGCTGCGGCAGTGAGAGGCCCGCATACCGCAAAAAAAAAAAAAAAAAAAAAAAAGGGTCATTTTTTAGAATTCCTTTCCACATTAATTGCATTTAAGATTTTCTATTTAATTAAATCACAACTAGTAATTAATCAGATACTTGCATTTTTTAGAATTTTATTCCGCTGCCCAAGTTCAATAGTTCACGTTGTTAGCATGCATTTCCAAGAAAATTTCTAGTTAAAAAATATATTCACTATCTCTGAATGGAATAATTGCATTTGATGATAAAACTGTATCTATTATAAATCAGCACAACCAATAAAAAATTTTGCAAATCAAATATTCTACATATACTCACAGCTGATTACCAAATTTATACTGAACAGGGAAACTTTGGCTCAATACAAAATACCACTTTAATGAGAAACTCATCAAAACTTTTGGCCATAAAAACCATCTGCCCTTTAAAGAAAAAATCTGGGGAAAAGACGAAACAGAACTCAAAAGCGTGTCTGCTAAATAAATCTGCCGAGATACAAAATACTCCTAATTGTGTGTTTTCCAAAACAGATTGTTAACTAAATATCACTGCATCTGAGGCCCTTTCATTTTAGGTAAATCTATGATTCCTAAGTCAATCTTACACATGGTAAAAGTAATAGTAACAGTTTACATTAGAATACAGTCCTTTGTTCAAACTTTGCTTCTATTATGACTATTTCACAAGAAATCAACCAACCGATAACTCCATACACGTTTCTTTGGGAAACTACTGTTCAAAGTACAGGTCACATAATGCAATACACCTGGGTATGTCAAAATAAGATACTTTTCTCTAATAATCATGTCAGAACAGCAACCTTAAAAATGCAAAAATAGCCATAGCATTTCCTCCCCCGTGACTGTTGTCTATTTCAAGAAGCAGAATTCATGCACTCTTTTAAAATCCTTTTCATTAAACAATAGTCTTCAATGATATTTCCTTTCCCCTTGCAATTCAGTCTCCAGGTTCAGTTAGATGACCTAAGTAACTTTTGGGATTAAAGTTGAATCTCATGGGTCCAGTTTCATACATTTGGCTGTAGAAAGCTTGGATGTATGCAACGTTTTAGAATTCAGTTCTGTGAATACATTAACATGAGAAAGGACTCTTTCTAGTCAGCTCTATATCAAACCACATACATTTTCCAACATGAAAAATCACTTTTTGAAGAATGGGGCTGATTTTTACTTTTCAAAGATGTGTTTGCCTCTCTCTCCCTTTCTCTCTCTCACACATATATGTGTGTGTATCTACATACATGTGTGTACCTACATGAATGTCTATGTGTACACAGCTACATACATCCGTGTGTGTGTGTGTGTGTGTGTGTGTGTGTGTGTACCTAGCCACAGTGGTATTCGCTCTCTTTTGTTATTTCATTTTACCTCATATTGTATAATTATAGTAGCAAATGGAGCTCCATGTAAGGAAGATGGCAACTTTCAGAAGCCCATAAGGAAACTGAACACACAGTGTTAATTTTAAAATAAGAACTATGTTTATGTATAGCTAACTCTGCTGCAACACAAATAAACCATATTATAGAAACACCTGATTTCATCATTTTTGCAAAAACCAAGCTCATATGAACAACAATGTGTATAGTATTGGATATGTAGAAGAATATTTTTAAAAATTTATTTTGTTGAAAGTAATATTCCAGTTTCCTGCTTCGAGGATCGTGGATAAGCCATTTGTTAGGGCTCAGCCTAGCGCTTCTGAGACTCTAATTCCTTCAGGTCAGGACTTGCACAGCTTCGGAGGTTACCATGTCATTGTGCTAAAAATCTTTAAAGCATTAACTATGCACCAGAAGTGACTGGTTTATAATCCTTGTAGGAGGGGGTCCAGACTATTACTTTTGTATATTTTTTCAAAACATTTACATTGTAGAGTAATATGAGCCTACCAAAACTGATACAGGAGAGACTCTGCAGACGCAGGTGTCTCTGTAGATATTTGATCTTGAGCAGAGCAAAGAGAACAGAGACGGGCCCCGATGCAGCTGTCGAGGGCAGAGAGCTTACGAAAGACCGTCGAGAGCGCACGAGCACGAGGGGAGTACAAGCAGGAGATGAATGAGCGGCTCGCAGTGAAGACTCCACGAGGCTCAGATGTTATGGTTTAATCGATTTTAGGAGAAATGTGTGGTCTTGTCATTAAATAATTTGTAGAACAACCCTTTCACCTGGAATGTGAGTTTAAGATTTTGCAATGACATCGAGTGCAAACATCAAAGAATCACTGTTAAAAATTCACATTTTACATCCGTAAGACTTGTCCGTTGAAAAAAAATTGTATGCCTTGCTTTTATTTTGTTCTCTATGTAAAGGGTTTAGGAAATTTGCCAAGACTACAATAAAGAAAAAAGTAAAGAAAAAATATTCTCTGACATTTTTTGAATTGATACTTGGATTTTTGAGATTTAGTATGATGTATACCTGCATCTCGTCTCAAGGGGATAGAAAATCTGCTTCCTTTAGTGTTAAATTTATTCATCTAAGCCCTGTAGTATAAGCTTACAGAACACGCTTTAAGTCCACCTAATTTTTAATTCATGAGGCTCTGAAGAAGGATCGATTTTCCATCACTGATTGCAGAAAGGTGCTTCTTACTCTGTAACCTCGATGCCACGTTTCTGAGGCTGTCTGCTATGATTCACGCTAATTACAAGTAGGTCACACATGAACATCCACAAGAGTAACACGTAAAATTTCCTATTTATAACCAACAACATCAAAGCAACACTGGTGTTAAAGCCAAAGTACAATATCCTAATAGTACCGTTTTAACCCTCACTGGAAAGATACAGTGGAAAAGTACCCCCTTCCGAACAATTGTCCGTTTCCATTAAGGCCTCAGCTATATTAGCCCATTAGAAAAGGCCAGTTCACAAGGAGTCACTGGGGCTGTGGATTTCTGGTCCTGGCTGATCACCGTCTGTGACGCAGTACAGAGGAGCCTGGCAGGGAGCCGTCTGCTGGATGTGTTTACTTGATGGTACCTTCTTGAAGAGGTCTGCATCCCAGTTACCAGGTGTAGGTTCCCCCCACAAAAATAAAAGGAAGAAAAGTCAAAGAAGCAAGATGAACATCTTCAGGTGGGGGGGCTCAGGGGCGGCCATCAGTCATCGATCTTCACGGGCAGCTTCTCCGAGGTCCCCTGGGCCGCCGGCGGGTTCGAGATCCACACGGCACTCTCCTCCCCTCGAATCACCTTCTCCCACTGGCTCAGGTTATTCCTGGAATAAGAGACGCAGCGACAGGGGCTGTTTCAGAAAGGATTTCTGGACTCTGTCCCAACAATCATCCACACCATCCTGTGGCATAACTCAGCCTGATGGCTTTTGGGTGTCGTTTTGACTCTGGTGACCTTGACTATAACCAGCTTGCAGGCTCCCAGCCTGTCCCCCGACTTGGCACCACTGCTCAGTCTCCTCAGAGGAGCCTCAACCGCCAAAGCCCTGTCCCACCAGCTCGTTTCTTAGTTGGGATTCACTGGAAAGGGGACTGAGCCAACGGGTGACCACCGAGGACACGTGGGATGGGAGGAAAGGGTGGAAGGGGCCCGGAGCCGCAAGTTCATCCACCAACGACACCTCCGTCCAGGCCTTCCCACCCCATGGGGGGAAGCGTGTGTCCCCCCGGGGCAGCTCCATCCCCTTCACATGCGAGACCGGGGAGAAGCCTTATTTTGAACACCGTGTCATGTATTAGAAAGGCACCATAAGTTACACCTGCTACAAACTTTTGAAAGTTCCTCGTTACGAGGTTGTATTTGTGCTCCGGTGGCCTCTAGTCTCAAACACAGCCTCACTCCCCCACCTCCTATCTTCCCGTCTCAGTACCTGCAGCTCAAGGGTTGCAGCATCTTCCTCTCCTCCGATGGTGTGAGAACTCCCGCTGCCTGACCACCACCCTGCTGGCCCGGCTAACCTCGCAGAGGCCTCGTCAACATTCCCCACCTTGCACCTTGCTTCCTCACACGCAAAGTCAAAATCAGAAGGGAACCTTAGCATTAGCAAACACAAAATTCATGCAAAGAAGACCTGCTAAGATACCTTTGGACAAAAGAAACCCCTAAAATATAACCTGAAAAATGTAACAGTTTAGCTTTTGTCCTATGTCATCAGGTATCATTTTCCCAGAACCTGAAGAGATTTTTTTGATATATTGGAAAAAAAACACCCACTAACTTTGTTGTGTTTCCTTGGATACAATGACACATGATGAATTTTTCAAGTTTTAATCATATTGAAACGGGCTTTAAGGGATTATGCGGTTTAGCCAAGTCCACAGTAGCAAGAAGGCATCAAAACTGCTGAGACAGCTGAATAACAATGCCAGAGCTTGATAATAATAGCAAGCCTTCATTCTGCTGGTTCTAAATATTTAGCACGAATACAGAGAATTTTTGGACAAAAAGAACTTCTGAGTAATGCCTGCATCTATTTTTTTTTTTTTTTTTTTTTTACAACATGCTCCTTGGATTTCAATTGATACTCTCTTTTCGCTTTGGTGGGACATTCATTTTTCCAACCTGACTCCATCAAGAATGAATACTCGCTCACACTCCAAACTGTCCACGTGGCTGAGCCCTTAGGGAATAATACAATATTTTCAGAAACTAGCTACTGATTAAGGTCAGTGATGGTGCAACAAAATACACTGGGATGTTCTGTTCATCTCCACAGAAGCAGAGAAGAAAGAGAATCACTTAAATACGAAAAAGCAGGATCTTTAAAAAATTTTCTTGCTTGTTAGTTTGTTTTCCTTAAAGAATGAGTTCATCAGGTAAGTTTCCACAGCAGAGAATGGAAGCACACTAAATCCTCAGATTTTGTTTACAAATATCTCGTCACATGTCTGTTCTCCTCCCCTCAACGGTGCATCCACTCCAGCCCCTCAGTGTGGTTCTGGCTGAGTGGTTAGGAAAATCGTGTCGAAACCAATTCTCCTGCAGAGAATCAACTCACACAGCCAATGTTCATCACCGTTCGCCTTCCCCAAAGGAATTTCCTTTCAAAGTAAGATGAAAATCTTAAAAAATTTCCAACGTTCTTAGCTGAGTTTAGCCCTCCAAAAAGATGATGAGAGGACACAGAGAAATCTGTTCTGATCAACTGTTGATGGCTTGCATTTCTTTTGGGAAGAAAATGAAACTTAAAGAAGATGCCATTCAAGATTCCACCTCTTCCATTCAAACGATAAACCGTGTGATTTAAACTGGGTCCCTTTCCAAACCAGCAGCCCAGCAAAGACACTACTGTCGTCTTCAAAACAGCATTGGGCGGGGACCTCTGAGTCATAAAAATGAACAAACAAACAAAACTTCAAAACTTTACGAATAAATACTCTTGATGTATACTTGTTACGTAGGCAAACAAACACACAGCCCATTTATTGTAAACTGTAGTGAAGACACATATATACTTGGAGATAAAATCCTATACATTCTTATCTTTTAAAAAATAGCATCACAGGTTGAACTACTGTGCATACCTGCAGGCTTTCAGGAGAGGCTCTGTGGGCGGGAAGATCTGGGTGAGCGTGGTGTAGCAGGGAATGGCCACGGCATTGTAGAATCCAAGCTGCCTCAGCGCAAAAACCACGGACAAGAAACACAACTGCACATTAGCAATTCTAGTAGCACCATATTCCTCAATTGAATTTTCTACTTCTCAAGCCTACCTAAGAAACTAAATGTTCTGGTTTTGCTAAGTAATCTTTGGCTCAAGGAACACTACTGCAGATTACAATTAAAAATTCATTAAAATACATTCACAAAGTAAAACATAAAAATTTAAAACAAAAAGAAGTTAATCTAAAACCCAAGTACAATATTCAATGGGATTCTCTTTATAGATCAGGTATAATTCAGGTCCTATTTTTATCTCTGGTCAGATTTAGTACTTTAAGTGTTAAGCATTTCAAAGTCAAATCTGCTATTCTTCTACATGGGTGACTCTTCATCAACTTAATACTCAGGAATCACCCACTGTTGGGTGTCTTGTTTGTTACTCTTAGCTTTGGTACCTCATTGGGTTTACTGAAATTTTCTTCATCTCCTCCCTCCCTCCCTTTTTTTTTTTTTTTTTCGGTTCGGGGGTCTCACTGTTGTGGCCTCTCCCGTTGCAGAGCACAGGCTCCGGACGCGCAGGCTCAGCGGCCACGGCTCACGGGCCCAGCCGCTCCGCGGCACGTGGGATCCTCCCGGACCCGGGCACAAACCCACGTCCCCTGCATCGGCAGGCGGACTCCAACCACTGCGCCACTAGGGAAGCCCCTCCCTCCCTTTTTTTGACCTACGACAAATCTCACTGACCTTATCATAGCTCTCTCAGGTAACAGCTCTCTCAATATGTCAGAATTTAAAGTTTTTAGTCTGTGATACTTTTAAAAATATATTAAAGATTTTACTAGGAATTATTCTGGGCCACTGTGCACATAAGTGATGAGGGCCCCAACTGGCCTTTGAAGGCCACATGGAAAAGAGCTGCTGGATGATTAACCAGAGAACACAGACTGTCTGGCTACAAATAACTGCCCTAATGGTTGACAACATGTACAGGATAAAACTGGCTCCTTAGATAGAGTGACCGGCAAACCATGGCTTACCAGTTTCTTAACTGAATTTCGGTGAGACACACCAAGGAATATAGAAGAGTCAAATCTACTTGGTTCCTTTCTGCTTTCTCCTGTTGTAAAGTCTATCATCATAGTCATCTTGCTAGAATGAATGCATTTCCATTTTTAACTTTACAGTTCATGCACAGACTTTCTTATGTCAATATTTAGCAGACGCCATGGCGCAGAAGGTCTCGAGAGAGAGACTAATTATTGGGAAGTAGAGTCTTTTATTTTTATGGCAAAGAATAATTTCATAGTAATCTCAAGTCGGAAGCAATATATTTGGTAAAATACTAGCTGATCACAGAAATATTGTATTTAAAATTCTCTGATACTATGAATGGATGTGGGATTTCGGCAGAAACATGCTACTCTTAATGAGGTAACCTGAGAACAAAGTTCATTCCCCGGCGACACCTTCAGTTCTCTTATGCACCCTACTGGGATGATGCTCAACTATTCACAAGGAAAAGCTAACGTCATCCACTCCCTATCTTATCCATATAACAGGATAAATTCCAAACGAATTAACAAATTAAATATAAAGTGATGAAATAAAAAAAATAACTGAAGAAAATATAGGCAAATGTTTATATAATCTCAGGGTGGGACAGGACTTTTACAACGTGACATGAAAAGCAGGCACAAGACAGGAAAGGATAATCACTGTGATTACCTACACGGGAAAGTTCCACAAACAATGTTAAAATAAAACGAAACTGCAAAATCTACCTGCAACATGCATGGTAGGCATGTCGGTACACAGTCAGCAGAGACGGAAAGTGGGCCTCCTGCTAGAAGAACTGGTTAAGGATACGAACAAGTGAACTGCTCCCCAGAGGCAACGATGGCGAGAAAATCACGCCACCTCTTGCTGGGCTGTGCCCTCCAAGAGCTGTGGACAAGCTTAAACTTTTGTATTAAGAGTTAATAACTTACCTTTAAATAAATAAAGTAGGAAAATTTGAGAACTTATCCAAAACCTTCATCTTGTGAATTTTCTGAAATGTTTTCTAAACTGAATTTTATATTATTTGTCCATAACTAACATCCTTATTATGATGTTAGAAGATTGAGAGTTTAAAAGGACCATAATAAAAGGAATATATCACACCACACACGCACACATGCAAAACTAACAAGGCACGAGGGCTCTCGAAACATCAAAAATTAACATAAATTATGTAGTAAGACCTGAAAAGAGAATAATTAGTGCCAGTTTATGGCAAGACAAAACTCAAAATGTACTAAAATATATGCATTATTTGTTAGGAAAAGTGGACCTAATCAAAATCTACAATGTTACTCTCCAAAAAATATCTTTGTACATTTGATGACAAAATGTTTTCTGCTTGTTAAAAATATCAACAATTCAAATTCATCCGTCCCCTCTATTTCAAGTAAGAAAAGAAAGCCTGCAATTGACTGCAATTTCATCCGTAGAAGAGGTGATGATGACAAGGCTAGCTGTGAATCCTTTAAATCCAACTAGGATTTCCCATTCGTGGTCTTACTATGCTCCAAGTCCGTCTAAATGGAGATTTCAGGTGGTTCCAGGTCCTATAAGACTGCATATGCTTCTTATTCATATCCGCTGTTATGGCCACTGTAAACGATTGGACTTTACAACACAATTCATACCTGGCCTTGTGGGACTTCGTCCTTCTTGTCTCTGTCCATCATGGGAATAGGCTGTATTCCCAGCTTCTTCATTTCATCACCCTGGGAGAAACAGGGGAAAACGAGGCTCTCTCAATTTTATAAACTGCTATAAAACTTTGGTATTAATGAGTGGTTCCCTTTGTTCGTTAATTTTCTTCAAAATGAATAATGTTGCTGCTTAATGACCCAAACAAATGTCAGAATAATAAAAAATGTAATGTATTATTGCAGGTTTTTATCCTGATATTCCTCTCCTGTACTGAATTACCAGAAACCTAGCCATCTCTTCTGGTTTCATTTTGTAGAAGTTAGTGAAAGTTAGTAATAAGAGGAGATAAATGTGTGAGGTGGAACACAAGAACAAAATGTGAAATAACCGCAAGGTCTTTATCTCACTTCTTCAGATGATTTTTCACATGCAATGCACCGGGTGGGGCTAGGCTTTAAAGAGGAATACTGATACATCAATAATAAACAATAGTCTACTAAAACATGTCAGTAAAGATACAGTATAACTGGCTAGACATCAGCATAGAGGTTAAAAATTATAGATGTTTATTAAAGATGTATGATATCGCAGGCTCTGGGCTAGGCAACTTGTACTATTATTTCACTTAATCTTCATGAAATACTATGAGTTAGATATTATTATCCCCGTTTTATAGATTTTAAAAATTATCTTACTGTTTTTATTTATTTTTTAAGGTTAAAGATTGTTAAAATTTTTCCTGAATACCTCACACTCTTCCCTCACATTTCTTAATTATTTTATTATTTTATTTTAATTGTGCTTGTTTTCAGAAATCCAAAGCACAGAACAACTAAAACCACCCTGAATGTGCTAAGATAAGGTCTAGAGACAAATTACTATAACCCTTGTTAAGAATGTTTGTGTACAGGACAAAGACACTTGACTTGACTACTAAAGGCACTTGAAGTATAGAGTTTGCTCTGGTGTTGTTGCTTTAAATATGAACAGCAGTAGTTCTCAAGATTCTTTTCTTTTCTGTCCTAAGTGAATGAAAATAACTAGGCCCCTTGCTCAAGGATTTCACAAGCCCAACATATAAAAAGATTTAAAATAAGCAGTGATTTGAATATGTACCCGAATAAGGATTGATGCTGACGAGGGAAACAACGGGACACCATGGACCGTGTGTGCAGGAGCACAGGGGTGGCTGGGGCTCAAGGGGGAGGGGCTGCAGGGGTGAGGGAGGGAGCCCCAGGCAGATGAAACTGCACAGCACAGTCAGGGACCCAGAGGACAGAGGGGCTGAAATGTGGGAGAGCCTGGAGGGGCAGAGGGCTTGCTGCATCGAGCGCGTGATTTTCATCTTTATCATATCAGCGTGGAGAGATGGAAGACGGGAGGTGTGGTACTGACATAAACAGAATTAAAGTCGTCCTGAACCGGCAAGCGTGGCCACCGAAGCACAGAGATGAGTCAGAGAACTGGCCTGAGGGCTCAGTCTCAGTACTAAGGCAAGGATTTCATCTCAAGCAACATGACACCGGAGACTATACTCTTAATCACTGTTACACTGATTGTCAAAGATAAAGGCAAGGAACCCAGTTAGATGTTGCAGTAACCCAGGCGGGATCTGGTGAAGCTCTGAAGAAGTGGGAGAGAGTGCGGGGCTGAGGTGAGAAGCGTGGACTTTATGAACGTCTAGGAGATCAACTGGCAAGACTGGGTGATTACGTTTCTGTTTCCACCCCGGGAGCTCCCTGCAGACGTCATCTATGAGCAGACTGGCAGCTAATCGCTCCCGGTGGACTGTTTAACCAACGGGGAATAGAAAGGGAAAAAGTCTACACGTCTCTCACATTTCGATTCGTATTTTAGAATACAGATATAGTTGTTATGGTATGAAGTATGTCATAGTTAAATAAATAAAAGTATTTGCAAAACAATAAGCTAGCTTCAGACAAGTTTTCTTATGTGGTGTTTATAGAATTAATTCTAGGTTACTACTTTTAGACACACATACAAATTAAGTTGACTGTGATAATAAAGTCAAACATTACAGCTCAGACATGTACATCTAAAAACAATCTTCCTGAGTCTGATAGTAACTAGATTTTGACACACACACAATAAAATAAAGGGAAAAAAAAACATGCAAGAGGGTGCTTACACAATGTATGCACTGTGTATTTGAGAAATAACACCATGAGTATATGCAACTCAAGGCCCGTGGTCCTCACCCAACAAAAACTCTTTGGGTTTACAATTATAGGACAGATCAACATTATAGACTATTTCTACTAATCGTTAGCTGAATGATTTACTGTTTTTTACTTTTTACATCCACTCTTCTACATGGATGAGATTCATGGTTTGAACCATCAACTACTGAACTTTTTGTCCTCCAAATTTACTTTTACTTCTTCAGAACAAATGAGGTGCACAAACACTTTACAGGTTTTTTTTCCATAATCTTTGAATATGCAGGGATCTAAGTATTTGTGGATTCATTTTTCTACTTACTCATGGCAAATCAAGGAGTAAACACATGTTTCTGATAATTTGGATAATTCAGTCTAGAAAAGGTATTCATGAAAGTAATTCACAGGGTTGTTTCACATGTCAGGAATTCATGGATTAACATCCCACATGTTCTACAGAACTCATAATCTGCAGCTGAATTGACCATTTGATATATTTACATAATCTCAGTTCCTACGGGTACAACGTGATTAGTCTCTCGAATTTCTAGCTGCAGGCACTTAAAGCCCGTGATATCGTGGGTCCCTCTTAGTACGTTTTCCAGTGGCTGCCATAAAGGAGATGGCCTAATACAGTTTATTGGATGGATGACAAAAGATTGGCTATTAAATAAGGAAAACTGTTGCACTACTGTTCAGGGAGTCAGTTCCTGAACTATTTCAGTGGAGATCAGAGAATTTACACACATATTCAAGTCAGATGTAACAAGAATGACTGTTCTTACTTCATACCTGTATAAATGCTAAACAATAGTTTTTTTAAGTAACCAGCAACATGAGCAACTAAGATACTGTGACTAAATTATCCTTATATTTAATTTCTTCCCAATTGTTTCTCATTTCTTGATATTATCTATGTTCATATAAAAATCAAGGACGTACCTCAGCCCAGAATTCTGCGTATATATCATTTGCCGTCAATTTTGTTACTGGCCACAGCTTTGTCACAGAACAAAGATCACAGGCAGTCATCATCAAACCAATGACACGGTCTCTAGAACACAATAATATAAAACTGGTCACTGCAGCATTTGCAAATTTATAAGAACAACTGGAAAGGCTTTGTATTTTCAGGAGTGAGTGAGGCCTAAAGTGGGCATCGCTTCGTGATGGGGGGACAATAGCGTTACAGAGCAGATGCAGCTAACAGGCAAGAAAATAAAGAATTAAAGAACAGTGTAGCTTTAATTGTAAGAACATCAGTCACTTCTGTCCCTAGTTCCACGAAGAGTATACCCTGTGTTCCTGCTGCCTGGCTGTTACTGTTGAAATAAAATATTATGTGGGCATGGCCCTGATACCAGCTAAATCCCCTGCTGTATTTTACTGCCACAAACCAGATTTTGACTTCCGTGGAATTTTGGAAATTTAGAGTGAGAAGAAACCTTGAAGAAAAAAGTCCCAATCCTTTCATTTTATATAGGAAAATCTGAGGTGCAAATAAATGAAATGATTTCTTCAAGGTATAACTGGCTCAAGACAAGGCCAGAGCAGATGTAGATTCCCAGAATTCTCTCCCATCTCCCCACCAGCAGAGAAATGTGATGTCTCCAAACACTTTACAAGCTCCAACTTTCCAACTGAAAGGAGTTTTCTTTTCAATTGCTTTGCACTCACAACAATGTGTTCTAGGTCTGATTTTTTTATTCTAAATATGGTTTGGCTTAATATTTCCTCTTGGAGAAAGATAAAAATTGCTTAAAAGAATTCAAACAGACATATCCCCTATAATTTTAACGCATCTGGTCTAGTGACATGAGGTCACCCTAAATGAAGTCTACACTTAATGGTGGCACTAAGTACAAGTTATTAAGAGCTTTTAATATTACTGACATTAACTTTTACAAAGCAAATTACATAACAAAAGGAAAATTATCGAGAAAGACACAAAACCACATAACAAGTGAGAAGGTGCCATAATTCCAGCTCCTACCTAAATTCTAATGCGTCTGAGGACTCCACTGCTACTCAAGGCCGCCTTATTTCCTGGAGGTGCACAGACAATCCCCATCTGTGGGCACAGTACTCCCTGGGTCCTGAGCCTGCCCACCCGGCCCACAGCATAGTAAGAGCATCTGTCTGTCGCGTGGGCAGAGTCTCTGATTTAGTGGTGTTCCCTAAAGCAGGTTCCTTTGATGCCAATCACTCTTAAGGTTCTTTCACTTCCCATCAGCCAATTGCGTTTAGCCCATTAGCCTAATTAAATGGTATCTTCTACAACTTTACTTTTCATTAAGGACACATGTCAAAAGGGTATCATGTCTCTAACAGGAAAGCCTAGATAACTTTAAAAACATCAATGAGACTGACATGTACCCATCCTGTGACCCCAAAACAGATGCCACGTGAAGATGCAAATCCCTTAAAATGATCAGGAAACCCCATGGTTTCTTGATGAGGTAGCTTCCTAAGCACTTTGTGGTTTAAAAGAAGAATATTTATTTCTGGATTTGGGCTTCTAAAGCAACAAGTATATTATCTGTTTGCTCAACAGATAAATTCATTTAAACAGAAATAGAACATGAGAAAAAACCTATTATTTTGTTAACAAATAATTATTTCATGAGATAGAAATAATTCAATCTCATTCAATCTACATTCACACAAAAAAAATCAGCATTTATTTCTTTTGGCTAAATATTGTAATAAGCTTTATCTCAAAAAAGATTTCTTATCTCATAAATCTATGAAAAAATGTTAATAGAACTGGGCACTGGAAAGCATGTGGAGCCAACTTTCTCACTGGATATGATTCTGTAGGCAGCATTGCTACTACTAGGGTTGAAAAGTTTATAATCTAGTTATCCTTTAGATTTCACTATCAAAATTACTTAGACAAAACAATTTAAGAGTATTTTACTGTTAACCAAACAAGTAAAAAATAAGACAGATAAGAAAGTTTGTACTAAATGCCTTCAGTAAATAAAAATTACTCATTTTTTACTCTCCGTGACAAATCAGCTAGATGGTCATGGTTTTCCGGAAATATTAACCTGAATTGGAATTGTTTTATTTCTTTCTCTGAGTGGAATATAGACCTAATGGTACAGAGACCTAATTTGTAATGCATTCCAATAACCAACTGTGAAAGGGATGGAGTTTATGCCAACTGTGCTGTTGGTATGATCTTGCACAGATGGTTCCTACGGGGGTAATTTCTGGGGGGGGCGGTTGACTACATCCATTTATTCCAAAAAGTTTTGAATGCCTGTATGTATCAGGCACGGCGAAAATAATAAACAAAATACGCACTGCTCTTGTAGAACTAATGTTCCAATGGGGAGAAGTAGAAAATAAGATAAAGATTTTCACTCAACAAGTCTATATAAAAAATATTTTAGGGGACTTCCCTGGTGGTGCAGGGAAGATAAGACTCCACGCTCCCAATACAGGGGGCCCGGGTTTGATCCCTGGTCAGGGAACTAGATTCCACATGCATGCCGCAACTAAGAGTTCACATGCCGCATCTAAGGAGCCCACGTGCCGCAACTAAGGCCCAGTGCAAACAGACAAGCAAATAAATAAATAAATATTTTAAGAGAGGCAAAAATATGAAGATGAGAGAGAGAGTCCAGTAGAGATGGCAGTGTGCGTACAAGTCCTAACATGGGAATAGGTGAGGTGTGCTGGAGGAACAGCGAGAAAGCCAGTCTGGCAGAAACGCAGGAGCGAGGAGGTGCCAGGCCGCTGCTAAGTCTCCAGACAAGACAGGACCAAGTCTGACGGTGAGATGCTGGCGGCTGAAGAGCAGAAGAGCGACACGACACACTTTTAAAAAGATCCCTCAGCTCTGCCCAGAGGAGGATGAACGGTAGCGTTGTAGGGGGAGGGAGGTTGCTGAGAGGCCGTTTAGGAGAACACGCAGCAGTCCAGATGCGCAAGGACGGCAGCTTGAATTAAGGTGACAGTAGTGGAGACAAAGAAAGTAGGAGGGTTCTAGTCGTTAGAGGCAGAGCCAAGTTGAAATACGTTAACATCCACAGGAGTTACAATAAGAGACATCTCTCTCCCTGTCTTTCCCCCCAGCATCATCCCAGACCGGGTAGAGCAACTTAAAACACAGGACCTGTCACAGGTGAGCAGAGGTTCCGACCTGAAAGTGAGCCCCTCTTGCCAGTCCGTACGTCCACCTTCCCAGTGCCAGCCTATTTTAAAATTCTCTTCCCACATCCCACGATCACAGAATCACTGAACTTTACAAAAGGGAGAGAAAAGAAACCACACAGCCTGCAGGATTTCAGGTGAGTTACTGGTGGCCAAAAAGGAAGCCCCAGCTCTCCCCCACTGCCCCCTCATCCCATGCCACAGACTCTGTAAAGTTAGTTAGTCGAGGATACGACGTCCTATTGGAAAAGAAGTAGAACCACACAGATGAAACATATAAGCAACTTTATTATAAAGATTTCAGGTAGCACTGTGAAGATAAACAAAGAATGAATTCTCATATGATTATCATTACAATTTCTCACTGTGTGAATAACTGGAATTCAAAAAGACTGAAAGGCTGGCTGGATTTCCACAGTGAGCTGGAAATGTAATACTCAGTACCTCTGATTCTCTACCCTCACTGTTTACTAGGCTCTGACCTCATTGCAACCTCCCACGTACCAACTAAGTCTTTAAGTGGGAGAAAAATTTAGAAACATAGCCCAGTTGTAAAACACAGTAACTTTAATACCTACTTCAATACAAGGTTATATCAGCCAGGATCCTGACCTGAAACAGATGACACACCCAGGAGAATTGGATGATTGACTGAAGGGACTATTCACATGGCCTGGAGGGAAACCAAGGAATAGTAAGGCACCGAGGGCCAGTGATAGTGGGCAGGTTCCCACCCTGGGCCTGGCAAGGGCCTGAGGTCTTGCCTCCAGACGCGCTGTTAAACCGGGGACCCACAAAGAAGAAGCGAGGGGAACGAACACACCAACTCTTCTCTCCTCCTGCCCTCTGATCTCTTGTCAATGCCACCCATGGCTGAATCCAGATGGAAGCTGGAGGGAGGGCAAGGGAGCTGAGTGACTTGCCCCTGGGGGTCAAAGTGGAAGACAAGCTTAGTGGATCTGGGGGCCAAAAGGAGGCCGCCCAGCACATGGGAGTAGCCCAGAGGGGGAGCTAAGAAGCTGTTGTTCACACGGAAAAATACATTTGAAATTTGAACCATTTAAATATTAAATTGCACAGAAATAGAAAAATGAATTTAAAGCCAACATTTCCACTAATCTAAGAAAATCTATGCCATTAGGCTTTGGGGACCCAGCACAAGATTGTCACCAAAACAACAGAAAAAAAAGAAAACAAATGCACGTCCTGCTTATCTTAGAGTGTGCATATAGAAAGAGCTGATCAAAGACCAGACTTCTATCAGGAGGCGTCTTAACTGTAACTGTTAGAGCAGGTCAGTAAAGTGGCACCAAGCGGTTAAATAAAAAGGAAACCATAAACAAGACCAAAAGACAACCCTCAGAATGGGAAAAAATATTTGCAAATGAAGCAACTGACAAAGGATTAATCTCCAAAATTTACAAGCAGCTCATGCAGCTCAATAACAAAAAAACAGACAACTCAATCCAAAAATGGACAGAAGACCTAAATAAACATTTCTCCAAAGAAGATATACAGACTGCCAACAAACACATGAAAGAATGCTCAACTTCATTAATCATTAGAGAAATGCAAATCAAAACTACAATGAGATATCATCTCACACCAGTCAGAATGGCCATCATCAAAAAATCTACAAACAATAAATGCTGGAGAGGGTGTGGAGAAAAGGGAACCCTCTTGCACTGTTGGTGGGAACGTAAATTGATACAGCCACTGTGGAGAACAGTATGGACGTTCCTTAAAAAACTAAAAATAGAACTACCATGTGACCCAGCAATCCCACTACTGGGCATATACCCTGAGAAAACCATCATTCAAAAAGAGTCATGTACCAAAATGTTCATTGCAGCTCTATTTACAATAGCCAGGACATGGAAGCTACCTAAG